AAAATATGATAGCAGAACTGAAAAACTCTTTAGAAGTATTAGAAGATACGGAAATATTGAAAAATAATGAAATTAGAGGACCAGCCAAGGAAGGTCAGCGTCAGAATTATAAAAATTTCAAAATAAGAAACAGAAAATGGAGGAGGGCGGTGGTGTGAAAACAACAACAACGTTTTTTAAAATCCCAGAACTGAAGATTACAAATCGCCAAATTTGAAAGAGTCCTGTTGAGTACCCCAGCAAAATGGATGAAATTAGATCCACAAAGTACATTGTGAAATTTTACATGAACATGTGAATCGACAAGCTTGCATAAAGAAAAAAAAGCAGGTCCCATAGAAAGGATGGAAATCGGAGTGGCTTTAGACCTCACCACCACAGCAGTACTGGGAAATGAGAAGCCAATGAAGCAGTGCATTTGAGATGCCGAAAGAAATGCTGTCCAGCCTGTAATTCTATACCCAGTCAAACTAACTAATGTGACGGTCGAATAAAAAGCGTCTTGGTATGCAAAGTCTCAAAGATTATCTCCCACGCACTTTTTCTCCGCCCAGTTGAGGGGTAAAGAAAGGAAGGCGTGGAATCTAGATCTCAAAACTACTGGGAGAAAGGTGGAAGGAATACTTGTGAGGAAGGTGAACGGGACCTCAGGATGCTCTCTGTACACTAGAGTGGAGGCAACCCATACAGACTGGAGCAGGCCAAAGTGGAAATGATAGAATACCTGATGGGGATGAATGCATTGAGAGTAGATTTAGACAACTGAGAAAGAATTAGGAATAAATACATAGAAAATTAAGCATGTGAAAAAAAAGTGACATTCATTGCAGGGAAAGCAAAAAATTAGGCAGTGTCATTAGTTATGCATTGTTGTATAACAAATTACCCCACAAATTAGTGTCTCAAAAAAAACCATGCCACTTTCCGTTGGTGAGGAATTGGGGAGTGGCTTAGCTGGAGGGTCTGGCTTGGGGACTCTGAAGATTACAACGAGTCAGTGCATCTGCCAGAACTGCAGTCTTCTGAAGGCTTAGCTGAGGCTGAACAATCTGTTGGAGCATAATACATCCCATTATGCTCATAATAGTTTACTTAATATTGACCTAACCATATCACAATATAACTATGCTGAGAAGGGGAGTTGCAGATGTGCCTTTGTGTTACAGGAGTGGAAACCCAAAAGACGTTTGGTTGTTGAATTAAATCTTCCTCTTCCAAAATAAAAAGTCAACAGCTTGTGCCTAAAACCTAACACTCAAGAGGTTATGTAACAATACAAGCATCTATGTGGAGATGCAAAGGTGCAGACCAGAAACTCAGCAGTTAAAGTACTTGTGTCGGCAAATGAGATTCAGGATGCCTAGAGCCTAATATTTTATTCAACAAACCTTGGTGCCTTATTAAACTATGCACATGTATAACTTTGATAAAAGTAAACCTTTGGCTAATACAAGGAATTCATAAAAGTAATAAAGTAGTAGGTGAATTTTTATGTTGGGATGGAGGGTCTTTCAGTGTGATGACACCAAAAAAAGAAATCCTAAAGGAAGAAGAGACATTTGCTAGATTTGACTTCATACTAGTCAGAAGTTTCTGTACCTTAAACTTACACACATGTCCAAAAGGGAAAGGCAAACCCCAAGCCAGGAAAAGAATCCTGATAAACTGGCCAAAGGGATGATGGTAAAATGTGAACTATTTCAGTCTTTAAAAAACGTAAACTGTTTCAATCTGTCTCTAGGGCAATTGGCAAATGTCTCAAAGCCTTGAACATGTATATATCCTTTGACCCAGCAATTCCAATTCTAAGAATTTATCCTATGTGACTAGTCCTTGATGTGCGCAAACATTTAGCTATTAGGGTTTTTCTTTATAATAGAAGAAAAATTTGAGACAGTTGAAGTCACCACCAATAGGTGATGTGGGTTACAAAAATAAAACTAGTAGTACAGGTGTATAATGAAATACTAGGTAGCTCTTAAAAGTCAGGCCAATGAAAAGTATATATTGACATAAACATTCATGATGTCGCCTCTATTTTAAAAACATGTAAATATGCATATATACACACATACACACATGTATGTACACACTGAAATTCAGGGTATTAGTGTTTATTTTTCTATTGGATTGTGTGTGTGTGTTTCCTTTGTGTTTTTCTGTGTTTTCCAAGTTTTTTACACTAATCAGGTGTTATTTTTATAGTCAAGAAAAAAAAACTTAAGGGATTTTTTTAGTTTATTTGAAAAATATGAAAAGTGCAAAGAAGAAAACAGTAATCATATTCTCACCACCTAGAATTAACCACTACTAACCTTTGGCATATTTACTTCAGTTTTTCTTTTCTTTCTGCAAATGTTTAAAATATAGTTAACACTAAAACAAGAACCTTGATTATCTTTTAGATATGAGACTGTGGGCTGCTTTGGATTTTTTTCTTCTTTTTGCTCTCCCCCTGCCCCATTCTCTTTTATACTTTTCTGTATTTCTCAATTTTCTTTGATGCATGTTTTACTTTTTAAAGGGATAAGCTGTTCTTTAAAATACATACAGTTCTTTAAAACATCTACAGTCGGCCCTCTCTATCCTCAGGTTTCGCATCCCAGGATTCCAGTCAACTGCGTGTTGAAAACAGTATCCACGGGTGTGGAGGGCCAACTGTATGCATTGTTCTCCGCCATTTTGTGGGAGGGACGTGAGCATCTGCAGATTTTGGTGTCCACAGGGTTTGTTCCTGGTTCAGGCATGAACAGAATGATCCTGGGCCAGTCACTGAAGCTCTCCAGATCTGCCTTCTCATCTATGAACTGAGGGGGTTGAACTGGAAACATTTCTATGGTAACTTACAGTTCTAAAAATACTGTGATTCTAAATTAAGATTTTGAGGGAAGCTGTGGCACCACAAATAATGGACTCTTACGTTTCTAATTTCTCGGTACCTCGTCTGTAGCACTAGACTCCAAGTTAGAATCATTTTGAAGACCACTCTGAGAATTCTTTAGTATTTTCATCTGACTCCCCATATTCTTAGAACAGAGAGTCCATTTAGAACTGAAGTTCCAGCTACTTGGTTGTTTTTTTATTATTAAATTTATTGCAGTGACATTGGTTAGTGAAATTATATGTTTCAAGTGTACATTTCTAGAATACATCGTCTGTATATTACATTGTGTGCTCACCACCCTAGAGTCAGTTCTCCTTCTGTCACCATATATTTAACCCCCTTTTCTTTCTTTTACCATCCCCAACGCCTTTATTTTATAGTTTAAGAAACTGAGCTCCAGAGAGATTGCAATTTGTCCAAATCACAAAACTAGTCAGGTTCCCTGATTCCTGGTGTGGAGCTTTTTATACCACAACATGCTTCGTGCAGAACTGGATCAATCTTTTCACAATGCCACCAGGACCTCATTTACACTGTCACCAAAATGGTCCTTGAGGGCAGTTGTTCACTTCCAAGACCATTGTGTCAGTCAACCGCAATCCGATTTCGGGGAAAGTAACTGGGGGCCCAGGGAGAAGACTGAGGGGCTCATCTTCCCTTAACCTTTCCCCTTTAGGTCCGACAAAGGGAAAGAGCAATTTCATTTTTACTTTCCTTTTCAGTTCCATGGCTTACCTTTCCCCCTGGTATTTATATAGCCAGAGATTATTTGCTTACAGAAGCCATGTGAAATCAGCCAGCCCCCAAAGGGTTAACGCTCCCAAATTACGGGGTGGGTTAACAATAAACAGGATGTCCTCCAGAAATTAAATTTAAACCACTGTGACTCAGGCTGGCCCATCCTCTAACCAGATCACTGTCTGGGGTTATTATCGGTGGTTAATTATACCGTTGGGTTTAGCAACAGTGTTGGTCAGTTTGGGCCAAGAGCAGCCAGGCTCTGAGAGACGGGGGAGTGGAGGGAAGGGGCCTGGTGGAGGGGGTGGGTACAGAGTGGAAGCGGGAGGTTTGAATGGAAGAGACAAAAGTAGTGGGAATGGTAGTCTGACCTGTGCCCTCAGGGCTCCTGCTGTAGCCCTCTTCCCTGAGCCAATGCCCAGGGTGCTTACCTCATTCCTCCCTGCGGGGGTGGGGAGCCGATGTGTCTGTAGCTGCTGGGGTGCACTGTGTGCTTTCTAGCCTGGCCACACTGCTCAGAATTGTAGAATCAGAATTTTCAGTGCCTTAAGGAAGCTCCTAGATTATCTAATTTAACCCTCTTAGGAAATTAAGGCGCAGGGCAGTGGTTACCTGCCAAAGGGCAGCCTGCACAGGGAAGGTGGAGGTAGGACTGGTGCTCAGATTCAGACTCCTAAACCGTGACCGTCCTCCTGTTATGCCACGCTGGAACCTGAGGTGCAGAGCTTCCCAGCAAGTTCAAGGCAAACGTGGGCTGGATTTCAGATTCTTCTCAGAGTTAGCCGCACTTAGATTTTGTCAGGTCTCCTGGGAGATAACCCAGCCTGGCTGGTCCTTGATGTTCCTACAATTCGTCATCTCTCCCCAGCCATAGAAGAGGCTCTTCAGATGCACAATTTGCCCTTCTGTATAGAAGGGGTGAAGAACCTAATACAGACGATACATGGCTTTTACGGTGTTTTTAAAGGCGTGTTTTCAAGGATGATAGCGATCCAAGCGAGCCTGTAATTTCTGACTTTGCAGCTCCTCGAGATACAAGGTTTATGGTGACTATTACTCGTCCAGTATCTCCCCTTTCCTGCCTTGACCTTGGCAATGTATTTAAGCAACAGACTCTTAGTAGGAAAGATGCCCTGGGGCAAAAGGTGGTGCCCGGGCCATCCGTCTGACTCTGCCCACAGGAGAATGACTGTCCCAGAGCCCAGCCTGGCTGCTCCTGGTCCTAGACCCACAGGGATGTGGTACAGTGACCGGGAGCGAGCCACTGCCACTGTTGTTTACCCTCCTGGAGGACAAGTGGCCTGTACTTCATCAGTTCTTTTCAGCTACATCCTTCCCCATTTCTCCTAACATCCCTCTTTGTCTGTTTCTCTTACAGGATTCCTTTCAAGATTGGGCAGCCCAAGAAACAGATTGTCCCCAAAACAGTGAGTAACCCGATTCTTTCATTCTGAGAGTCACTTCCGTCTCACCTGGCTTTCACATAGAACCAGAGTGTTGACTCAACAACCATGGGGCTCGGAGGAAGGCAGAACCTGGGCCTTCTCATTCCCAGTCGCGTAGCTCCAGTACCTCACATAGACGGGGATTTGCAGGGACCTCCTGTCCTGGGACGTACTCCTTCCTCAGCTCAGCCCCAGGTGGAAGAGGTAGATGCCACAGGCAAGGAGGAACACTGCTCCGACAGCCCATCCCTGGGATCTGGTACACAGTCTGCATGTTCCTAAGAGGGCACCTGAAACAGACCTCTGCCAAGGACACGTCCCAGGAGGCCTTTATCCCAGGCCACCTCAGGCCATGTGAAAAACCAGGAAGCGTCTCCAGGGCTCCGGGTCCCTTTCTCTCCACTGTCAAATGCATTCTTAACCGGGACCCAGAGTCACTCACACTCAGCACAGGGGGGATAATTGAATCCGACCCCCCTTGTAAGCCCACAGTTTCTATCCCTATTTTATCTCCAGAATGGGACAGGGAGAGAATCATAGAAGTTAGAGCTGGAAGCCCTTAAGAGATCATCTAGTCCAACCGCCTGATTTTTCCTGATGAGGAAACTGAGACCATGGCATTGCAATCACTCGCTAAATAAAGTTGGACAAAGCTAATGCTGACAGTGCTCGAATTAGAACTCAAGTCTGAGCCTCTGTTCAATACTCCTTCCATTGTTTTATGCTGCCTCATTCAGGCAGCATAGGTTTGGGGGTTCTAGTAAAGAATAGCCGCTTCAGCTCCCTCACCCACAAATCTGAGTGAGGCTCTTGGTGTTAACATGGGAGACCATAACTGTAGAGGCTCTCTTTTTTTTTTTTTGAAGATTTTATTTTTAATTGGGGGAGGGGAACAGCCAAGTTATTGTCTTTCAATCTTAGTTGTGGAGGGCACAGCTAGCTTAGTTCCAAGTCGACTCTTGCCGCCAGCTCAAAGCGCTGTGTTCAGTTAGCTGCGGGTAGTCATAGCCACCATCTCACGCGGGAATCGAACCAGCAGTCTCATTGTTAAGAGTGCGCACTCCATCCACTGAGCCACCCGGGAGGCAGCTCAGCTCAAGGTGCCGAGCTCAGTCTTAGTTACGCCCACCATCTCGAACAGGCAGCCTTGTTGTTAAGAGCACGTGCTCTCACCAGCTGAGCCATCCTGCCACCTGTTGGCAGCTCAACTCGGGCACAGCGTCACTGGCCTATGTGGGAATCAAACCGGCAACCCTGTTGCTCAGAGCTCGCGCTCTTGAGCAAGCTCTTAACCAACTGAACCACTTGGCCGGCCCCTGTAGAGCATCTCTTGTTGTGACAGCTCCAGGAAGCATGGTGGAGGCCCGTGACTGTCATCCCAGCCCCTGGCGGTTCTCCTTGTCTTCATAACCTCGTCCCCTCCTTGGCTCAGGACTCAGAACTACGGGAAAGATGTTGCTTCAGTTTGGCGGGAAGGGAAGCTCGGCGCACATCTGACCATCTGATGTGGACCATCTGATGGCTCTATCTTTGGGGAGTCCAAAGTTAGGTCACTTAAAAGGAAATGGGCCCGCGTTAAAAGAGCCCTCCCCTTTGCAAACAAAGGCAGGCCAAGGAGAGAGTTTACCTCCCATGCAGAGGCTGACCATCTGTGGAGGCTCTCGGCTGAAGCACAGAGGATCTGGGCGTAACAGTGCTGGGCTCTGGCCGGCTACAGGAAGTGGGAAGGTGTGGCTTTCAGTCTCCAGAGTTTAATCCCGGGCAGATCTGAAAGGGAAGTGGTTTGGAGAAGGGTCTTCTTTTCTCAACACTACCAAACAACAAAAAAAACAAAACAAACAAACAAACCAACTCCCCAACCTTTATCAAGGTGGCCTTTGTCCTCCACAGAAAAGCGTAAGCTTCAATGCAGTGTCTAGCTTCTTTGCCAGAGTTTGTTGATGGAAAGATCTGTGGGTGTTTTAGTCTGAGGAGTGGCAGGGACTCCCCAGGGGGAGGGCAGATGCACAGCCGGAGAAAACCCTCGGCCGTGTGGCCCTCTATGGGTCCTTCTCCCCTTCCTAGCATTGGTCCCGCTCGGGAGGGAACTGTGGGCCTTAACTGTGGCAGCAGCTCCCCCCCCCCCCCCCCCCCCCCCCCGCAGACTGGGCCTCAAGCAGCGGGTAAGAAGCAGGACTTCGAAGGCTCCGTGCTTGGATTCCCATCCTGGCTCTGGTGTGCTGTCTGTGGCCTTACGCAAGTTCCATCCCCTCTCTGGGCCTCCGCTTTCTCCTTTGTACAGTGAGGGTAATGCTAGGACCTGTGTCACTGATGTCTGACGAGTCTCACATGAGGTGATGTATATGAAGCAGTTCACACAGTGCCTGGCACATAGTAAGGTCTCAATAAATACTAAATACATCGCAGAACGACAGTCAGTTTGACTCTTTATAAACCACCAAGGTCTTTCCTGGTGCCGGCAGCTAGATTCCCCAGTGCAGCAAAGCACAGGCTGGGACAGCTATTGGCTTCCTCAACTCCCAGGCGGCATGGAAGTGTCTGCAGCAAGACCCTGCCTCTTCAGCGTCCTGCCCTCCACCCACAGACAGGCTGGGGCTGTCTCAGCATCTCCGCAGCTGCCCCCAAGAGTGGTGACACACTCTGTTGTTCTTGTCCAGGCACTTCCAGGGAGGGGAGCAGATGGGGCTGCCTGGGTTATTGAAAGTCACGGCTCCCCTGTCATGGGAAGAAATACTCATGTTATCTTCAGGGAGTTTCAGGAGGTTTTTGGCTCAAGGCACCCAACTGTCAGACACAAAGGAAGCATTGTGTGTCTGCCCTCACTGTTCTCCTGTGCCCAGGTGATTAACACAGATTCCAGTATTGTCACGGCCTTGGCTGGAATGGCAGGTTCTCTGCAGGCGCTGACCAGTAGCACTGAAATGGAAGAACAGAAGCCCCCCCATCTCCCCACCCTAAGTCCCCTCTGGTCCCCCGGTCCCATAAAGTAGCCGGAGCAGCTTAGTGTGGCTAAAAGAAGCTATGCTTTCCTCCATAGCCTGAGAGGCTGGGAGGGCTCTCTGAAGCAAGGGTTACCCTGGGTCTCGCACACCTGGATTTCTAGCTAGGTGTGCACTCTGGGAAGTCAGGTAGAAGAGTCCCACCACATAGAGCCTTCACTTGAGAAAGATTTCCAGGTGCAAAGTGGAGGGGCCCTCAGCCCCATTCCTGTCCTGTTGTAACATGCCACAGGGAGGCTGCTTTCTTCCCCCACTGAGCAACTTTAAAGGGGGGCTTCTCAGCTGGTCTTGTTTTCCACTTCACCAGGAGTGTAGGTTTGGGTGGGAACTCAGCCCATTCATTCATTTAACAAGTCCTGAGCTCCTGTGACGTGCCAGCCTGACTCGGCAGCACTGGGGAGAACGGTGAGCTGTACAGTCCCTCCCGTCCACCCTGAGCCTTCTAGAATGCAGGGAGTGGGTAGCTGCCGAGGTGGTTGTCCCGCACTTGATTCTCCCTGCGCTAACCTCACCCGCCCGCCCGCCATGACCCGCTGACAGCCCTGCACATGTGTTTACACTTGCATTGTTGACTGGGGTCCAGCTGCCTTTTTGGCAGAGGCATCAAGCGTTCAAAGATGTTCAGATCTTTTGTGTTTGGCTCTTTCCCTCAGGAAGGATAGACCTTGGAATGAGACCCCAGTGTGTCCCTTTATTCCCTGTCTGAGGGGCTAGAATCCTGGTGGGATCCCCCGGATCTTTCCCCAGTGAAGGAGAGAGATCTCAGGACAGTGAGTGATAGAAGCAGCACACACGTGGCTACCAGAAGCAGAGGAGGTGAAACGTTCATGACCTTCTGTTAGGCTGTCAGATGGCCCTGAGCGGCATGAAGTCCAAGAACCAAGCTCCCACCCCAACATGCTTCCCAGCTTCTAGTGTGAGACCTAACGTTTCTCATCAACCAGCATAATCCAGCCCGTGAGGAAACCTGCAGTCCTTCTCTGTGCAAGTCGGAGCAATCCCAGCCAGGGAGACCAGGTGTTCTCTGACATCCCACACACATCAGCCCGCTGGGGATTGCAACAGAGTGCCAGGAGCCAGGGTTGCAGCTCGGGCGGGCCGGCAGGCGCTCCCCCCGCAGAGCACCTAATTTGTGTTCTGCGTCTTCAGGAGAGCTATATTCTGGCCAAGACATCCTTAATCTTAATTTTTAATTTCATCTTTTTTGGGGGAAAAAACCACTTTCAATATGTAAAGACTGTGTTCAGCTGTCACATCCTACGAAGTAAGAAAGGAGAAATGTCCTTGACGGGAGGCCCCAGCACAGCCCCCAGGCGCAGGACTTCAGGCTTAGCCCGAATGGGGGCGTCCTAGCTGTCGGTGGGCCGTGTGCTTTGCACTGCTTTCCTCTCTGCCAGAGGGTCACAGACTAGTCTGCACCCACAGTGCCCTGGTCCTCTCACCACCCCAGTGTGGAGGAGCAAGGAACACCGTCCGTGGGCCAGGCTCCCTGCTCTGTGCCCCACACCCCACACCTACTGCTGCGATCCTCCCACCAAGCCTGTGAGGCTGATGCAGTGACCCTGTTTCCTTATCAGCCCCTGAAACTTACGAGGGGTGAGGCCAGATGAAATATCCCGTTTTCCTAGACAAGAAGCTGAGACTCAGAAACGTTAGGAAACGTTTGTAATGCTGCACAGCTAGTATCAGCTTATGTCTTTATCTGCCTCTCCCTGTTCCTCTCCCCGCCTCCCTCCCAGCACTGTTGGAGTAAGGACTAGGCCAATCTCAGTGCAGACATGGCAGGGCCGGGGCAAGGCCCCCTTGCTCCAGAACACATCTCCAGACGCCTTTTGCTATGACTCTGATTCCTGTCCAACTCTAAACCCCCGGCAGCAGGTAACACTTTAAACTCTTAGTGGGTATATATATATATATATATATATATATATATATATATATATATATATATGCCTTAGTGGGAGTGAATTTTGAGTTCTTTCTTAAGAGTAGCTTTTGATGGATCATAAGGAAGGCGATGATAAAAATGTTGGGTTCCTGGATAGAGAAAGAGAGGGTCTGCTGAAAAGAGGGGGAAAGATTATAGGCTAGGAGGCTGGGGCACCACGTGAGGTTTGTTTGTTTTGGGGGATTTTTTGTTTTGGGCTTCATAGTCTTTCTTTAATTTTTTAATTACAGTTGACATTCAACATTATTTTACATTAGTTTCAGGTATATAGCACAGTGGTTAGACATTTGTATAATTTAGGAAGTGATCTCCCGATAAATCCAGTATCCACCTGGCACCGTACATAGTTATTACAAGGTGAAAGAATTAAGAAGTACAAATTGGTAGTTACAAGGTAGTCCACGGGGATGTAAAGTACAGCATAGGGAATATGTCAATAATATTGTAATAACCAATGGTGAGTTATACCTCCCAACTTGGTGTTGGGTTCTAGACACTAGGATCATAAAGTAAGGAAAAGTGTTCCTGCTTCTACATTTTCCAGTTCAGATGAGGAAGGTGACCCGCTCTTGTTCCCTAATGACCTCAGCTGAGTCGGGTCCCTGTCATTCTCACTGCGCCCGCCCACGCCCTCCACAGGGCTTCCCACCGATTGCAGGGTGTGTGTGTGTATGTGTGTGTGTCCCTCACTAGGGCCTATGTCTGTTATTCACCAGCGTATGCCTAGCACCTGGCAGAATGCATTGCACTTAATAGGTGCTCATTAAATATTTGTGGCATGAATGGGTATAATTTAAAAAAATAAAAGGCCTGAACCTAGGAGTCTTAATTCTTTGCTATTCACTAGCCCTGCATCCTTACATCAGTCACATCCCTCTCTGGGCTTCATTCTCCTCATGTATAATATGAAATAGTTGGCCTGAATAATGTCCTGCTATTCTGTGACTATGTTGAGTTTACCTAAATCCAAATATGGAGTATGGCGTCGATAGGGTTCAGAATACTCTTTTGCTGGGACACCATTGGTGGAAGGGCCTGCTGGTGAAGAGCAGTGGGGCTTTGACAGTTTCTGCAAATTTATACTCCCTGACTTTCAATCTGGAACGAGAGTGAAAGTCGGGATTTAGGACTTTCACTGGCAGGGGCCTCAGGAACAGGCAGGAACCCATCTTTCTTAGGTCATGGCTTTAATTCCTCAGCAAACGCCTTTTTCCCTTTTGGAATGACAGTTAAGAGCACAGGCCTGGGAGCTCGGCCCCTCATAGTGGTATGACCCTGCACAGGCAACTTCACCTCTGTCCCCATGACCTCCTCAGGACAGTGAGGGCCATTAAGTACCCCTGCCTCCTGGCTGAGTTGTGGAGGAGAAGGCGTTCACGGAAGCACACAGAGAACACTCCCTGCAGGTAGCTGGTTTTACTTCTCCAAGAGCCCAGAGGCTCCACAGGGAAGCCAGGGAGTGGCATGGCCTCTGTGGAAGAGAAGGAAGGAGAAGCATCTCCTCGTCCCCTTCGTTAGGCTCTAAGATGTCACTGACTTCACAGGCCACCCCCCTGAGAGCCATTGCCGAGGCCCCGTTTTACAGAGGGGGAAATTCAGGCATGGAAGTTACAAGTCACTTTCTTGACTTCACCTGACATGTTGGGCGGCAGAATTGGGTCCAGGACTCACACCCGTTCGGTTTAAATATTGCTGGCATTGGGGAAATCTGATAACTAATTAAGAACAGAGGGAGCCTTGCGGGAGTCAGTAGTAATAGTGTCGGTGTTTGGTACATCCCAGCGTACAGAGCGTGGGTATGTGATCTTCCTTCATCTACCCTGATCCTGTGGCAGGTGGTAGGACCTGTGAGGAAACCAGGGCTGTGACAGGGAGGCGACCTTTTCGGGTCTCAGAGCTGTGAAGTAGCAGAGACAGAACTGAAGTGCAGACCTGCCCGTTTCCTCTGTGCCCTGCTGCCACCCTGGCTGAGTGTCAGTCCCATTCTGAGCAGCTTCCCTGCCACAGGAGGGGAGGGTGAGAAGAGGGAACACAGCTCCGCACCTCCCTGCCTGTGGTGGAAGAACGGAGCCGCAATCCGCTGGTGCTTGCCTGGCTGGTGCATCTGGGAGGGGAGTCTCTCACCCTGAAGCAAGCACTTAATTAATTTGGGAACACAGGGGTACTGTGTCATTAATGACCTGCTGGTGCCTGTATGAACTGGACAGCGCTGTTTCTGCAGACAGGGGAGGGTGTGGAGGGAGTGTCAGGAGGCTGGCAGATTTTTTCCAGCGTGTTGTCATTTCTCCAGTGATTGAGTTATCTATCTCGTTACAGGTGGAGAGAGACTTTGAAAGGGAGTATGGAAAACTCCAGCAGTGAGTGTCAAACCCCAGAAGGCTTTGGGTGGGGAAGGGTGGGAGAAGGGCAAGCACCTTCACCAGGTCTCAATTCCAGAATGGTTTGGGCTGCTCACCACCCGTTAGTGGGCTGCTCCGTGGCAGCCGAGGGCAGCTCAGTTCACCACCTGCCAGAAATTCCCCCCCAACTGATGGCTGTATGACAGTCGTTAATTCGTAGCCTTTGGGTGCTTGGCCTCACGCAGAGCTGGTAGTGGCCCTTCGGTTGGTGGGGAAGAAAATCCCACAGAGGAGGAGCACTTCTCTCCCTAACAGACATTCCAGAGTGCAAGGTTGGGCTTCCCTTAGGTAGATGGGAAGAGAGAGGGCGAAAGCCAGCTGGCGATGCTGGATGCCAGGCCCGCGCTCCTGCCTTGCAGGCTGGAAGAACAGACCAGAAGGCTCCAAAAGGACATGAAGAAGAGCACCGATGCGGACCTGGGTAGGTGGCACCACACACACACACACACACACACACACACACACACACACCACACACACACACACACCCTGACTGGCCAGGACTGGGCGGGACCGACCTAGGTGGACGCCCTCCTCCCCCAGTCACCTTAGGCTGCCTTTGAAGTAAGTGCCCTTAGTAGATATCCGACAGACGTCCCTGAGGAGTGGCTTGAGGTCACCCTTCATTTGCAGATCCCCACTCCCCCCTGTCCCCGAGCACAGCAGCAGCCACCACAGCTGGGTGGAGTGCTGGTTCCTGTGGCCTGTGCCACAGAGCCTCGGGCCAGGGCCATCCAGAGGATGTGGGCGCGTCTGAACATGACTGCCCTCGCTCCTGGCCCTTAGTATCTCCAAACTATGTGTGAAGCAAGCCAAGGGTCTGCTTTTGGAGCCTATCTGTCATTGTTTTGAAGTTAGTTCTGATTTAGCCGAATGGCATCTTTCCTTATCCTTCCCCACTGCCTTTCCAGTACGGGCAATGCTCTGACCTATTGCTTCCTTTCCTTCTTATTACCGTGTGTCATTGAAACCGGGGGTTACCTAGCTACACCAAATCTGGCTTTGTTTTGTCAATAAAGTTTTATTGGAATGCAGCCACACCCAGTCTTTAGGTATTGTCTGTGGCAGAGCTGAGTGGTGGCAACAGCAACCATGTGACCTGCCAAGCCTAAAATCTGGACTGTCTAGCTCTTTATAGTAAGTTCGCCACCCTATTGTAGCGTACTATGTTCCTGTGTCCCCCAAATCATGCTGCACCTCCCAGCCACCTGGAGAGGTATTCTTTTAATGCCTCCAGGCTTACTGAATTAGAGTCTTTGGAGCTACAAGTCTGCATTTCTTACCCTTTCCCACCCAGATGATTCTGTTATAACCCTGAGTTTGGAACACTGTCATTGCAACAGGTAAAGCTGCCCCAAAGAGCTACCTGGAACAGTGTCAGATGGTCAGGAATGAACATTATGCAATAAGGACTAGTGTCTTGTGGCTCTGTAGGGCTTTGTAGTTTTGATGGCCTGTGGCCATGGGTGGAGGTCACATGGGGGAGGCCTCTGGACAAGGGAGGACAGGGAGTCTGAGGACAAAGCCTGGAAGCCCGTCTCTTCACAAGCTCACCGAGCTTTGACTTCTTACAGCCATGTCCAAATCTGCCGTCAAGATATCCTTGGACTTGCTATCCAACCCCCTCTGCGAGCAAGACCAGGACTTTCTAAACATGGTGACAGCCCTGGACACGGCCATGAAACGGATGGACGCCTTCAATCAGGAAAAGGTGACTGGGGCCTGAGTCTCCCTCTGCCTGCTGGTAGCTTCTGTCCGGAGGGGCTCCCACGTGGAGTCCTCACCAGGGCCCAGGCTCCTCTCTGGGCGCCTTATGCCCAAGCCCTGGCAGCCTCTTCCCAGCCGACCTGCTTCCCGGGGCTCCCATGAGCTCACGTCCCTCACAGTGAGGCCATGAGGGAGACGCAGGTCAGCTGTGCCCACCCAGCCTCCTCCCTGAGCAAGGCCATTAGCAGCCTGGGCAGACAACAGCTGGCAGGACGAGAGCCGACCAGGAGCAAGGACCAGGTGCTGCCTGTGTCCCATCAGGCTTCCTGAGCACCGTCTCTGCCTCACTCCAGCTGCAGTTAGGGGCACGTGCCTGGCCTGTCCTGCTCTGGCCCCTCCCTGCTGGGCTCTCCGGGTGCCCCTGACAGGTCTCCTTCCTCTTCGCAGGAATGAGGAGTCTTCCCCCTTTAGGAAGAATCTGGCTTCCCCCAGTTTTGATGTCATTGGGTTTTTCTTTTGACAGGTGAACCAGATTCAAAAGACTGTGATTGAACCCTTAAAAAAGTGAGTAAAGGTCATCTGGGGACCACAGGCCTCAGGGGACTCGGCTCAGGGCACTTATTAGGGAGGCAGGTCAACTGGTCACCTGGGGACTGAACATCGTTTCTAGAAGCCTGTTCCCAGTTTACATGGGGATGACAAGAAACTCAACAGAAACCCCGGCTACATGCTCTGTGGCCCAAGGGTTGACCCTCCTGGGAGCCCCAGAGTGCCCGCCGTCACCCTGACACACTCAGTGACCGGTGGCAGGGCACTTGTGGTCCCCTCAGCAGCCAGCCATTGCTCCAGTGGTCATTTTGCCGTTTCCCCTTTGTTCCTGTTTGAGGACCAGTGGGAGTCGAGCTTGCTGAATTAAGCTAGCAGAGATCTTGGCCAGCCCTCCGTGGAGATGAGCAAGGCCTTTCATCTCTCTCAGGCGGATTGGGAGAGCAGCTGCCTGCAGCACTCGGCTTTTGAAATGTGGGGGTGGCCGCCCATGGGGAAGGGCGCAGCAGCGAGGTCCCGCCTGGGAAGGTCCCCTGACTCATGACCTATCAGGGTCAGAAATTCTTCTGTGAGACTCCTGTTCTGTCAGGCGGGCGCTGGTCAGTGATCAGACAGGCCTATTCCCCGGGTCCCCTAAGGGGGTGGGCATCGCCTTGAAGCTCCCGAATCACTTCATCTTCTTCCCTGGCCTCTCCCAGGCAGCCTCTGACCTAGAAAGGCTCCGCTCCAGCCGGCAGCTGCACTTGATTACCTCTCTGTGGTGGTCCCTGGCAGTTGCCTCACCAGGGCCCGGGTAATGAGGCTCCGCTAATTACCATTAGGCTGGATCAGGGCCCAGAGGGAGATGACAGAGCAGGTTTTGATCCTCCGGCCTCTGGTGCTGAGGTTGTGGAGCGCCTCGCTCCCTGTTCAGGTCTAAGGGGTGGGGCTCGGGAAAGCTCTGTCTAAGCCCCGGGGCTGTCTGGAGGCTCCGCACTGCGGGGATGCTGAACCCGGCGCAGGAAGGGGTTTCTCCTCCCACCCCTGCACGCGGCTGCTTCCCCGGGCTCCTGGCCCGTAACCCTTGCTCAGCCCCAGGTCACAGGGTCACGTAAGCAACTGGGTAGGAAGGACCACGGGCAGAGTAGAACCTGCCCACGGGGGTCCCACGGGCTGCCATGGACACCCATGGCTGGCAGAGCTAGGCAGGGGACACCGGCTCAGAGAACTGGGGGACTGACTCCTGTCTCGATTTCACAACCAACGAGGCGGCCTTGAAATCTGATGCCTGGCTTCTGGAGCCAAATGGAGAGAAATCCCGGCTGCTTCCCACCACCCTAGCAGCCCACCACCTGCCAGGAAGGTGGGTGAGTGGCAGAGGGGGGCAGGCACCATCTCCGCAGCAGATCCGCTGACCTCTGTGTGAGCCCCGGGCCTGCCTGGCTACCCGGGCTGGACTGGCTTCTGTGCATCCCAGAGCCGACATGCGATCTCCCCCGACCACAGAAAGCCGGCACTGCCTGTTGCCTCCTCTTGCCAGGAGAGAAGCTCCCAGGGACCCCAGCACCGGAAACAGGAAACTGCAGCTTTCCTGTCCTCTGATGAAGAACATTGCCACATGGCCACCCCACCGCCCCCAGCCTCCCCCCAGGGGGCTCGGCCTCTAATCCCAAAGTCTCTGGGCCACGTTCACATGGTCGGATGGGGATGCTTTCAATTTCCCTTTCCTGGTGGGTGGAAGATCCCGGCTGTGTGGGCACAGATTGAAGAATGGCAGGCATTCCCCACCAGGGCCGGCTGCTCCCAACCCACCTCCCAGCCGGCCTCTTTCTGCCTCCCCCTTCCCCTCCTCCCTCTCTCGCTGCCTCTTCACCCCACGCTTACCCAGGGGAGGCAGTTTGCTGTTGAACCTTAGGACAGGCAAGAAACGGGGCGTCGCCGACCGTGGGCAGAGCTTCAGCGAGTGCCTGGTGTAGGCCTGGCCCCGTTCTCCCATCTTTGAGGATAGATGGAGCTTAGGAGCTTATGGTCTAGTGCAGAAGCCATGCCAGCATTCTCAAGGAAATGGACCAGTGTATCGCCTGCCAAGGGGGTGCAGTGCGATGGAACCTGGAAAGTGCTGGACGGGCAGTCCCAGCCTGCCCTGGCCCGACCCGTCACCTTGGCCAGGCCCCTGCTCCTCTGAGTCTGTTTCCCCACCTGTGGAAAGAGAGCGCTGACCAAACTCTTGGAATGGCCGTGTCGGTGCTCAGCAGGGAGAGGGAGCCGTCAGTGGCCGAGCTGAGCTGCAGTGGAAGGAGGAGGAGCTTCTGGGGCCCTGGCCCAGGGACTTCCTGTCCCACCGGCCTACTGGTGGCTGGGGAGCTGGGCAGAGAGGGTCTGACAGCCTCGCCTTGGTTCTTCGGGGCAGCCCAGTAAAAGTGCGGACTTACTACCTTAGGGAGAGCGGGTCCCCCGTCCTTGCCAGGTGAAGCCCTCAGGTACCTCTGTAGGGCAACAGGGTCATGTCTGGGAGGGCCCAGCCACAGGGCCAGCCTGTGCTGGCTTCACCTCCCTGCTGACTTCCCTCTCCTGACCTCAAGGTGGAGGGAAGCAATGAAGCACCCACACGGGGCGGGGTGGGGGGTCCTGCTGCCGGACGAGCTCTGCTACAGCACCATGCTATCTGTTTATACACCCAGCGCATGGCGCTGGCAGCGTTTCTTCTGTTGCTTCTAAGTAATGAGAGGTGCGGCCTCAGCGAGCAGTAACCCAGGGCCAGGGATTACAAAGCCCTGGTCCCCCCCACGCTCTGATCTCCCCTGCCCAACCTTAGTTTCCCCACCTTAATGTGAGGAGGGTGTGACCCCTGCCTTTATCCCTCAGGAGCCCCGAAGCCTGGGCCCAAAGCCCCTGGGTGGCAGGTGGTTGGTAATCCATATACAGTGAGCTGAGCCAGCTGGGCCTTCCTGGCCTCCCGGTCTGACTGGTGGGTGCTGCTGTGGGAGGCGGGTTATGGTGAAGAAGGGGTTTCCCTGGAGGGTCTGACTCCACTGGGGGCCAGTTCCCGCTGCAGCCACTTCCTCCTCACAGCGGACAGGTGCTCTTGCATCCAGAAGGCGGACGGGAGCATCCTGCAAACACAGCCGCTCTTACCACACCCGTCCCCTGAGGTTGCCTGGCACTGCATGGAAATCTGGAACCCCGGATCCATGCCTCATTCACCCCTCTGGGCCCAGGACTGGCCCTGGGATTGGGTTTCTGTCTCCTGTGTAGACTGATCCAGTCCCTGCATTTAGTCAGCGTTCCTGCTGTATCAGACCCTGGCCCTGGAAGTTACCCCTGGTTGACACCTGAGGGAAGTGGGTTATGAGGACGAGACAACGTACAAGTGCTATTGGGGCCAGAGGCCATCGAGAGCTGCTTGACCGATCAGCATGGTGATAATCCCGCCGTACACCTGGGATAGGCCTGAACAGGGCTTCCTTCGCAGTGGTGCCCTTTTTCCTGAGGACATACACTCAAAGTGGTGGGATTGTGGCAGAGCAAGGGCACACTCCACCTGCTGCTTCCTGCCTACCCCGTTCTTGCCCCGTCTCTGTGCCTGCACCTGCCCTGCCCATCGCAGGCAGCCAGCAGGTGGATGGCGGAAGCCCAGGCACTGGGGCCGCCCAAGCAGCAGGTTGCTTCTAATGAGAGAATCAGGGTGGATGCTGGTGGCCCCTTGTCCAGCTGGAGTAGAGGGGGAGGTGGCATGGTGGCTTCTCAGGCCCAACTGCACCTGCTCCCTTGAGCCACATGCCTCTCAGCTGCTGGCCACACTCCTCCCAGGAAGGGGCAGGGGTTCTCCTAGCAACTGAGACCCCATCATAGCAACTGCTCCGCTCTGTGGTCTCACCTGTTCAGACCTACCCCAGGGGGTGTGGTCTGTCCTGGAGCTGGCTGGTCCCCACAGCCAGTTTGCTCAGCGCTGAGTAGGCCTACATCTTCTGCCTGGCAAATCAGTCATTCAGAAATACTGGTATGATTATTATGTGAAGCAGCAGGTGATCGAGGCTTCGGAGATGTTTGCGTGGTCTTGCCCACTTCTTTGTCATTCCCAGTTAGGGAATCAGCCCATTACTGACACCTATTAAGTTAGAAGAATTCGTTTTAAGTTGCCTTTCTCAGGGATAAGCCCTTTGTTTCATCAAAATCTGCCTGGCTCTACAGCTTTGGGCATTTAATGCCTTGGTCAAGTTTCTATTCTGTATTCTTTGGCAAAAGCATTCATTACTCTGCCGGCCGAGTGGCTCAGTTGGTTAAGAGCTCGCTCAAGAGTGCGAGCTCTGAGCAACAGCGGTTTGAGTCCCGGCCCGAGCTGAGCTGCTGCTGAGCTGCCAACAGGTGGCAGGATGGCTCAGCTAAAAAAAAAAAAAAGTATTCATTACTCTTATGTCACGTGTACTCTTTTTTTTTTTTAATTGGGGGACAGTCATAGTCATTGGTTACACATTGCTTTCATGCTACAATGGCATAATCGACTCTTTTAGGGAGGGCACAGCTCACAGTGGCCCATGCAAGGGTTGAAACGGCAACCTTGGTGTCATCAGCACCACGCTCTAACCGACTGAGCTAACCAGTCACCCCTTACATCACGTATACTCGTGATTTGCTGAAGTTTTTAAAAACCAAATTCATGGTCATGTCCCTTGGAGAGGCAGACTTGGAAGTCACTCTGTGGTATCTGAACTACCCAAAGGTGACCCGTGAGCTCAGACGCACTCCTGGCTCTGAGCTCGGTGCAAAGCTGAAATCGGCAATGCTCCATCCCCATCTTTCATCTTCTCTGGGTTGCTCCTGGAGGAACTGACTCTTCTGGTCCTGGGTCGCCCACTCCGGGCTTCTCAACCCCAAATAACCACCGCACTCATTTTCCTCAGTTGAATGGCCAAGCTCACCACCAGCTGCCTGGTAGACACCTGCCCCCGTGTCCTCCGGCAGCAGTGACAGCACCTCCTGCCCCATCTCCTCTTGTCCTATTCCAGAAAATCTGCTTGCAGACTTTTGTTTGTTTGTTTGGTTGGGTTTTTTTTGGGGTTTTTTTTTTTTGCTTGTTAGAAACCTCTGTTTTAGAAGTGTTGTTTTTTATTATTAAAGGATAGTTGATACAATATCAGTTTCAAGCGTACAACATAGTGATACGACATTTATATACGAGCATTAGGTTTTGATTGCAGTTCTGTCATCTGCTGGTGGTGGGGAGGTACCAGACAAAACAGGGCAGTCGAGTGCTCTGCTGAAACATCATTGCCTAATTGTGACCTTGGACATGTCATCTCTCTGGCCTCAGTTACTTTCATTCTTTAAAAGGAAGATGTCCAGATGACTTACAAGGAGTCTTCAGCTCTGCCGTGCTCCATTGCGGGTCTCTGTAGTATGGGGCGGGTCCTAGGAGGTGGCTGGGGAAGGACAGTGGCAGCGTAAGTGGCATCATGCATTCGTGACCTACCGTGTCTTACTCAGGCCAGTAGCATGACCACTAGCCCTGTGTTCTTTCCCTGGCCTGACCCCAAGACTGCATGAGCTCCGTGGGAGCCAGGGCCTCATCTCTCTTGTTCACAGTGAAACCCCAAGACCTAGAACGGGGTCTGACACTTAGTGGGCCCTCAGCATATGCTTTTGGGTGAACGATGAGCTGCCAGCCCATTGTCCAACCCGGCTGTGTCGGCAGGTTTGGCAGTGTCTTCCCGAGCCTCAACATGGCGGTGAAACGGCGGGAGCAGGCCTTGCAGGACTACAGGAGGCTGCAGGCCAAGGTGGAGAAGTATGCGGAGAAGGAGAAGACAGGGCCAGTGCTGGCCAAGCTCCACCAGGTACGGAGGAAGCGGGGCATAGGGGGCGACATCGGGCCGCGTGTCCCGTGTGGCAAGTTCCTCCTTCACCTAGGGACCAGTTTGAGGGCGGCGGGACCAAGACACCAGGTGTCCTGATACACCCCCACCCACCCACCCACCCAACATGCACACACCTAGTGCCCTCACCAGGGACACTGCATAAGCCAACGGCAGCTGTGACAGCCAGAGCCTTGTTCCCCAGGCCCGAGAAGAGCTTCGGCCAGTGCGGGAAGACTTTGAGGCCAAGAATAAGCAGCTCCTGGATGAGATGCCGCGGTTCCACAACAGCCGACTCGACTACTTCCAGCCCAGCTTTGAGTCCCTGATCCGTGCACAGGTGAAGCTGCTCCCACCTGCCCCAAATGCTGGCCTAACACTTTCCCTCGGGACACAGTCATGGGTTGTGTAGACACATCTCCTGCCAACCCCCACTCCCCACACCGGAAGGGGACTTAGCCATTCTCTGCCCAGACAGCCACCACCACCCCCGCCCTGCGCCGGCACCACCCCGAGGCGGGGCAGCCAGGGGCCTCTGGTCATTTGCTGGAATTGCTGCTGTTGGTTCCTACATTGCTCTTTGGTTAATGCCAGCCTAGGACTAAGTTCTTTGTTGTTTTAACAGTTCTTCTGTCAAGTTCTCGCTCATATTTTACCATGAGCAACAAGAAGAAACCAGGCCGTACCATCCTCACCTCAGTTTAATTGGCAGGTTCTGTGCCTGGTGTCCTCAGGAGGTCGGGGACAGAGGCCTACTGGGTGATGGCCCTTTTCTGAGCACCCTGCGCCCACCCCCCATCCCCACCCTAGTTACTCCCCTTCCTTTGGCGGGAGACCATGAGGTGTCTTGACTTTTAGTGACCCTTGGGGGAGGGGCCTGAACCCCGGGGAGAGCCTCACTCAGGGCCCCTACCGGTGCCCAGCCGTGGTGCACCTTCCAGTGGGAAAGGCAGACCAGGCGTGGGTGGGGTGCACAGCGGTAGCACTGGGGACCAGGCAGCTGGAGGGTCAGACACAGGCCAACCCTGTGTCTCCCGCTACTCAAGGGTGTGAGGACAGAGTGAGACCGGTGCAGCTGCTGCCCATCTCACCCCCTGCGCCCTGCCGTCTTTCAGGCATTAGCAGGGATTAGCCCCCGTTTGTAAAAGAGAAAAGCCAAGGGGTCTCCTCCACGTGGGAGCCCCACATCCCCACATGCTCAGCATCCCCACCCGTCCCCGCCAGGTAACAGAGCTGAAGGCTCAGTGCCTCCCCATTCCCCTCCAGCCCTCTTCTGCTCTTGGCCTAGGTATTTGGCGCCCTCCAGTGGACACTGTCAATCCTTGTCGAGTCCACAGTCACAGGCGCCCAAGGAAAGCCTCATTCCTTCCTCCCCACCTGCCACCTTCGGAGAGCACCCAAATCCATGGGGCCGCATACTTGGACTCAGGAACCCTGAGCAGGATTGGTGTTGGGGCTGGGACTTGTTAGTGACCGTATCCTTGGTCACTAGGGGAAAATGAGGCAGAGGAAGTGGGTATTCCCACATGCCCCCCACCTCCCGAGGATTGCCCCCGAGGTGAGGGGCTCCTTCCAGCGTCTTCACCCAGGGCTGGAGGAATGTGTTTAAGGAGCCCTGTGCCTTCCCTTCTGCGCAGTCAGTCGCCCACTCCCTCCCCCCGCCTGTTGCTCAGGGAGGAAGCGCCAAGGCACTAGGCTTTGGAGTGCCCAGGGTGGAGCAGTTCGGGGCTCAGGATGCCCTGTCACCAGGCAGCGGAGTGTTGCAAGGTATTGCTGTCTCGTCAGCACCAGCCTCCCGCTCCCGCAGCTGCACGGCCGTCAGTCACTGAAGAAGTGGGCATTCCTAGTGACAGCCATGCAGTGTGGTTCGGGCTGGGGGGCGTGCCTTGCCCTCCCCCGGCGCGAGCCCAGGCCCCTGTCCGCTGAGGTGACAGCAGGATATGAAGGCCTTGATTTAGCTCCCCCTCGAATCCAGCTGTGGGAGGCACTTCCGCAGAAGCAGCTCAGCTGCGGCCCTGACACCAGACCTACCGCTCCGCCTGGCCCTGCCAGTAATGGCATTCCAAGTTTCTAGAGTAGTCGAGTTCCTTCTCCCCAAAGACAACTTGATAAGATTTAGGGGTGTTGAATAGTGTTTTGAATATGTTTGTAGAAATACACTTTCATTTGGTCACGCGGTGGAGACTGAGGCAAAAAAAACGGCCTGTCCCCGTGCCCTGGGCCTCTTCAGGCCCAGGATCTAAGCAGCCCTCAGCCATCTGAGAGCTGCTGATGGGGCCCTGGTTCCTATAGGTCTCCCCCGCCCCACGTAGAAGGAAATGTGGAACTAGCGCTGTGGGGGCTTGGTGTCGGGGAACCCAGCCCCTGCTGACCTCCTGCCTCCCACCCAGGTCGTCTACTACTCTGAAATGCATAAGATCTTCGGAGACCTGACCCAACAGCTGGACCAGCCTGGCCACCCCGATGAGCAGCGGGAGCGGGAGAATGAAGCCAAACTGAGTGAGCTCAGAGCCCTCTCTATTGTGGCTGATGACTGAGTCCTGCCTCATTGGAAGACGCCTGGGATACAAGTCAGCCTCTCTAGTCTTTGCCCTTTTCAAGCGTAGGCTCAGGCATCTGCCAGCAAAGGCCCTGCCTGGGAGAAGTGTGGGGCTAGCAGCCCTCGCCCTACCTCACCAGCCCTTTGGAATAAGCCAGCACCGGGAGCCCCAGGCAGGCTGCTGTCTCCCCGCCCATAAGCAGGAGACTGCAGACAGGTAAGCAGCCTAGTCCAACCCCAGGGGGTTGTATTTCCAGAAGGACCGTCCAGAGTGCCTCCTGGCCCAGGGCCAGGGCTCTGTCAGCTCACCTGCTGTCTCAGCCTCACTTTCGTGGTTGGGATGACATCTACCTCCAAAAGACCCATCCTGGGGAGTCCACCCACCCTGTTGCCGTCCCACTTCACTCCCTGGGAGAGGGCCGGAACACTGCCCTGGGAAGCGAGTGCCATGGTCCCCAGCCCTGACAGGCCCCTGTCTAGCCTCCCAGCACAACAAAAGCTGGCTCAGCCCACTCATATATAGGATAACCCACTTCTAGCCTTAGGTCAGTGCAGGGGAAGACCCCAAGTCTTGTAGTTTCCCTAGGAAACTGGGACACAACCCATGTAAATAACTTACCACAAAAAAAATGTTGGACCGATTCACAGGCCTCAGAGCAAGAATGGGTTTGTCTCACCTGAATATTTGGAATTTTATTTTTTCAAGTAAACTTTGCAATAAAATTTCCATGTATTATTGTACTATACCTAAGGCAAGGAGGGGAGAGCCACCCCAGGTTTTGTTTCCAGGTAATGCTGCCCCCTGCTGAGCTGACAGGACCCCTACCGCGTCCTCTCCCATCAGCCTTCAGGGAGCCTAGTGCAAGGGGCTGCTATTCCTGCTGCCGCCGCCCTCTGGAGGTAACTGCACCCCTATCCTGTGGAGGCTGCGCTGAGGGCCAGGAGGAAGGGTGGGAGCACAGGCAGACCTGAAGGAAGGGAAAAGCTATGCAGGACACTTGGTTTGTTTTTGACTTTGGTTTATTTAAAAAACAAAAAGCCAAAAAAAAAAAAAAAAAAAAACACAATTTTATATACAAAGTCAAACTGAAACCACGGATTATGGAAAGAGGCGAGACTTACGGGGAACAGGGAAAAAGGCTGGGCCATAGCCAATACCACATTCTGAACACGGGAAGCCAGGGGAAGAGGTGCTGGTTTCTTCTGGCAAGTCTGGGGTGGCTGGAACAGTGTTCACTGGCAAACAGCCCACAACGAGAGCTCGCTAGCACTGACTGCATTCCTGCAAAGGCCACTGGAGACCCTTCCCCCAAGAACCTGCTCCTGGAACCTGGCAGGATTTGTGCCATCCAGAGGAAGGGGCTCTTACCCCAGCCACATTCCGTGTCTGTTTCTTCAGTTTATTGGCATCAGACCTTATCATGACATAGTCGAAAAGCCTTTTCCTCCCGTCTTACTCTAAACTGGAAGAGGACAGGAGAAAGCACAAGACTAAGGGCCCCAGGAGAAACCCCAAGGTAGAGGGCAAAATGACATTCGAGGGGTGCAGATGTTGGATTTAGTTGTTTAAGTGGAACCGGTTCCTCGCTCGTCCGTCCCACACAGCACAGGCAGACCCCACCCTGACGGCCTGAACGCCCCTACACAGGCTAAGCACGGGTGAGCCACCCGGCCTATGGCTCCCAGGTCCTGCTCCAGCTGCTTTCTGGACCCAAAGGCCTCTAACTCCAGCAGGCTCCATCGCTGACCTCGCAGGACGGCAGCTCCTGCACCAGGCCCCTCAGTTGCTAGGTGCTGGCTCCTCCTTCTCTACCCAGCTGTCAGCCTGTTTGAAGCAGATGAAACAGGAATCAGGACCCAAGGAGGAAGACTACCCACTTGCTCCTGGGAAACGCAAGCTTGCAAGCTGCTGACTGACGGACGGATTCCAGTGGATGGAGGTGAGGTGGCACGGGCACAAGGGGCTGCCGTGCTGGCGTCACCCTGACCGAGCACCCGTCGCACCAGCTCTCACAGGGCCTCACCTTCTCAACCATCCGCTGCATCTCCAGCTGCAGGGGCGCCAGGCGCCTCCGGAACTCCTGCAGCAGCCGCTGCAGCTGGCTCTTTTGTCGCTCAGCCGTCCGGGCCGTGTCCTCGGCCTCAGAGAGCCGGGTGCGCAGTTCCTGCATGTCCGCCGCCAGGGTCTTGTTTGTGACTTCAGTGGCTGAGAAACGGTGGTGGCTCTCCTCTGGTGGGGACACACCAGAAAGAGTGCTGCTCGGTTAAGGATCGGAGCAACAGGCCCGAGCCTAAGGAGCAGGGTTCCCCCTTGGTCTCCAGTACATGTCTGCATGGGCCCTGACAGGTCCCCGCAGCTCAGCCCACTCACCCAGCTTCAGTTCCAGTGTGTGAATCTTGTTCTCCAGGTACAGCCGTCCACTGTCCTGCTGCTCTGCACGTTGCAACAGGTTCCCCACATTGATGAGGCTGCCATTGTGGGACACCAGGCCCTTATGTTCCACAGGGGCAGCTCCTGGCTTTGCGCTTTTCCCAGGAGGAGGTAGCAGGTCCAGGTTTCCTTGTGGGGCCATGAAAAGGAGGTAAGGGCCGGGTCTCAGGAGGAGGAAGTGGCCCGCCCCCCGCCCCAGCAGGCTGCAGAGCAACAGTACGCACCAAAGAGCACCTCCTCCGGAAGCCCCCCGTCTGTGCCCTCTGGGCGGCTGTACTGAAGGCTGCGGTACTGGCAAATGTTCTGGGTCACCACCCTGCTGACCAGCTGTTTGGCCTACAGAACACACACACCCAAGGTCCCCTTTGATGAGAAGGCACAGGCCCTGCCCCAGCCCCTACCCCTTCGACGTGTAAGAACCTAGAACTAAAGCCTCCTGGCTCCCCATGGGAGCTAAGTGCGTGCCTGTGCACATCTGAGGCCATCGCAGAAAGGACCGAGGGGACACGAGAGAAGGCACCTGCTCTGCACTGAGCCGGAGCCCGAGGGTAAGCAGAATCCTTTCCAAGTCTCGCCGGTGCAAATAGCCACACCAGTTGGCATCAAAGAAGACAAATGCAAGAAGACAGTCCAAAGGGAGCACAGCAGAGGGGTCCAGCTCCTTGGGCTGCAAGAAAAACAAGGATGAACTCTAGTCAGCTAAATCACCCGGGACGCAGCCGTAAATTCAGGCGGCCTGGCTGACATCATCACATCCAGGTGCACCTTCCAGATGGAGACCAGACCCTGGGCCTATAACCAAAGGCCTATTTGGGGCACTTTCACCCAGGGGCTGTCACACACAGGAACCTAGGGTGCTCCTTGACCAGATAATCTCGCTCAGATTCACCCTGATGGAAACACTGGATCCTATATCCCCTTGATCCTATGAAGTGCCATTCCATGAGCCAAGAACCATATTTTGTCTTTTGCCCATCGACAGATGCCAGAAGTCATTTGGCAGAAGCATCCTTCTGCAAAGACTGACTGTGGCCGGCCTTGCTGAGCAGCTCAGTCACTGAGGCCAGAGACGCAGAACAGGTCTCACCATGTCCTGAAGGGACGAGAACTCCAGCTCCGACTGGTTCGAGGCAACTGACCGGACCTCGGGGTCTTCCAGCTTGGCCCCTGCTACAAAAGCCGAAGGTGAGCTTGGAGCAGGGACCACAAGGCCACACCCACTACAGCCCTCACAGCTGTCGCTAGAGCCAGTGAGGGAGCAGCCCCCGCACGCGTCCCTCCCACCGCACACACCGAACTCCTCCTCTCCATCGTCCCGCAGCAGCAGCAGGTCTGGGTCGAGGGCCATCTCACACAGGTCCTCGGACGCCTCGCCCCGGGGTTTCTCTTCTTCCTCTCCCCCAGAAGAGGGGGGTTTGGGCAAAAGCCCATCTTCCTTCTAGGCAAAGCAGGCGGAGATGAGGAGAACTGTCACCTGTAATTACTAACAATAACAGTAGCTAACACTGAGTATCAACCATGTCCAGGAACTGTGTCAAGGGCTCTGTAGGCACCACCTCATGGGATGGATTTCTTTACACATGAGACGTGTATAAGGCTTCAGAGCAGACCAGGGCGAGTCCCAGACACCTGGGATTCTCCTCAGGGAGTCCATCTCAGTCCATAAGAAATGACGTTTCCTTGAGAGTATTTAGGCAAGAAGCCCCAGTGGCTTTTGAAAAGGTTAAGAAAACGCAGCTTTGGTTAACCAGCGGGTCCGACGCCTTACTCCGGAGCGCCTTACTCCGGAGCGTTCTCATTCACTGAGCTCTCGGTGCTGCCGGAGCACCAGCCCCACTTCCCTGCCCTGCTCCGGGCCGCTCCCCCTCCCCTGGACACACCACTTCTAGCTGTGCGGCCCAGGCCAGGGCCAAGCGCCCTGTGCCTGCATACACACACCAGGGTCTCGGGCGCGTGCAGAGAGCAGTACCGAAAGACCAATGGAGCGCTCAGAGCAGCGGCCGGCCACGCAGCATCGTGTCCCGGTCAGCGTTACTACGTGCAGCCCAGTGCCCGTGGGGCGGGCAGAGGTACTCACCGGCGGGGCATCGGGCTCAGTGGCTGTGCCCTCGTTGTGTGCCTCATCCTTGGACTCCTTGGCTGCCTCCTCCTTCACCACTTCTTCCTCCTTGGCCGCCTCCTCCTTCTCAGGTTCGGGTGGGGCCACGATCTTTTCAGGAAGGCTCAGGAGCATCTTATAAATCCTATAGCCAAAATCCCTCTGCAGCATCTCCAGAAACAGCTCAGCCAACACCATCACCTGGTGGAAGAGGTGGCAGTGGCCCGTGGGCATTGAAAGGGAGTGTTCCAAGCCCCGCCATGCAGCCATACACCCTACCCCACAGCCGCCCCAGACGCCTACACCTACCTCAAAAGAGATCCTTTCTTTTGGCCTCCGGTCCTCCACAATACCATGGAGGGACAAGTTTACACAGCCAGGGCGTGCCATGACAGCAGGTTCTAGAGGGGGTGGAGGGGCCTCTGGGAGATCAGTGTCCATTTCCTGCTGTGCAGCGACCTCCGGGTTCTCTGCATTCTGTTTAGAGGTGTCTGCTGCTGGCTCCGATGCGTCAACTGCCTGTTCTGCAGGCTCTGTTTCCTGTGACAAAAGCCAACAGCTGTGACTACCTGGGCCCAGGGGCCAGGGCACCGACTTTCCCCACTTGTTCTTAAGGCTCAGCCTTACCGCTGGCATCTCCTGGGCTGGGGGAGCTGCCTCTGCAGCTTTCTGCTGGCACAGGGCCTCCCACTCTTCCAAAGTAGGCATGATGGTCCAGACATCTGGCAGGTAGACCACCACGGTCTGGAGCCGCCTCGGGGGTCCCGGCTGCAGGTACTGAAACTCGGCAAAGCGCCACCTGCTCACAGCAAAGGGAAAAATGAAGTACTGACCCATGAAGTTCACAAGCAACTGATTCAGTTTCCAGTCAGCGTTTACTGAGCACATACTACAAGCCAAGCTTTGAAAGTTCAAAAATAAAAGATATAGAGCAAGTACTCAAGAAATGGTGGGGAGACACAAGTAAGCAGACATTTACCATCCGAGGTGCTAAGACAACAAGGAGTGCTGAACATGGCTGGGAGAGGGGTTAGGGGGATCCGCTGGTCTTCGACATACACATCCCTTGTCATGCTCATGATCGGTGTGACCATTTGTGAGGGCTGGAGGGAGGGATGCTGGGATAGCTCCTCTGGAACAGAGGCGCGCTAACAGGTTCAGGGAGGTGCAGAAGCTTGGCCTGAACAGTCTCGCCAATGGCTGGCCCACAGACAAGAGCTCAGGGCAGCCACTCACCACTTTGTGCAGGCGCTCAAGTCAATGCCGGTCTGGGCTTGTGCACAGCGGATGGCAGTGCGGACTAGCACCTGCGGGTCGCCCTTGGGGTCAGGGCCGTCCAGGGAAGGAGACCACTCACCCCCAACCAGAACTGCCTCATCTTCTTTCCGGCCCAGCAGAAACTACAAAAACAGATCAGGGATAAAAAATAAAAAACCAATTTCCTGGGTCTCCCACTAGGAGGCAGCCTGCCACCACTAGAGAACACGAGCAGCAGAATGTGAAGAGTCCACATGGCAGTGAGTGAGTGAGTGAGTGAGTGTGTGTGCGCGTGCGTGCGTGTGTGCGCGCGTGCGTGCTGGGGTGGGGTGGGGAGGTTCTCCATCCATGAACATGAACCAGCCACGTAACCTTCTGACAACATTTCTGAGCCATGCTGTGCTTCTTGTAAAACGAGGTATTTCAGCTCTGAAACTCTGTTTCTATGAGTTTGTGAACAGGAACTGAGCTGCTGAAAATGTGACAGGACCTGGACATGATCAACGCATCTTGCCTCTTGGACTGCAGCTCTCACCTTAACCTGCTTCAAAGGGTGTTCTGGCGTCTCCCTTGGCTCAGTCATGTCATCCACGAAGAGCATGCAACAACGATACAATTCCTCCAGTCCTGGGGAAGAGAGCAGCAGTACCTGTGCAGGGGTGGCGGGAAGAGACACTCAGCTTTTTCAGCCTCCATCAAGGGGAGAAAGCGGCAGGACCCCAGTCACCTTACCTTGGAACTGTAAGTAGGGTCACTGTCTGCAGGGATGGGCTCAGCACCAGTGTCTAGAGCTGGCTCCTTCTCAGAAGACACCTGGATACGGCTTGGAT